CTTCATGGGTCAGAGATCACTCTGTCAGCTTGGTCACTTCCCGGGTCAGAGATCACTCTGTCAGCTTGGTCACTTCACGGGTCAGAGATCACTATCAGCTGGGTCACTTCACGGGTCAGAGGTCACTATCAGCTGGGTCACTTCACGGGTCAGAGATCACTATCAGCTGGGTCACTTCACGGGTCAGAGATCACTATCAGCTGGGTCACTTCACGGGTCAGAGATCACTATCAGCTGGGTCACTTCACGGGTCAGAGATCACTATCAGCTTGGTCACTTCACGGGTCAGAGATCACTATCAGCTTGGTCACTTCACGGGTCAGAGATCACTATCAGCTGGGTCACTTCACGGGTCAGAGATCACTATCAGCTGGGTCACTTCACGGGTCAGAGATCACTATCAGCTGGGTCACTTCACGGGTCAGAGATCACTATCAGCTGGGTCACTTCACGGGTCAGAGATCACTATCAGCTGGGTCACTTCACGGGTCAGAGATCACTATCAGCTGGGTCACTTCACGGGTCAGAGATCACTATCAGCTTGGTCACTTCACGGGTCAGAGATCACTATCAGCTTGGTCACTTCACGGGTCAGAGATCACTATCAGCTGGGTCACTTCACGGGTCAGAGATCACTCTGTCAGCTGGGTCACTTCACGGGTCAGAGATCACTATCAGCTGGGTCACTTCACGAGTCAGAGATCACTATCAGCTTGGTCACTTCACGGGTCAGAGATCACTATCAGCTGGGTCACTTCACGGGTCAGAGATCACTATCAGCTGGGTCACTTCACGGGTCAGAGATCACTCTGTCAGCTTGGTCACTTACGGACAACTCCCTTCAGGGGAGGTGCCCAGACGCTGATGAAGGGGCTCTTGATCCAAAGAATTGGAGCTGTCCTTCCCTTCCTCGGACCAAACCGGAGTACCTCCCATTTCCCAGGTGCTGTATGCCTCCTACGGATTTATTGCTTCTCCCCTTCAGTATGGAACACATCTGGGTCGACTTCAGAAGATGACTTGGTTTAAGTGGTTTCCACCTGACTGCAGTTACATTGTCATTGTTGATGATCTTTGTTGTGTTGATGCATTTGTTGTTTGTCTTATTGTTGTTGCTTGCTTTTGTTGACTGGGTTTATGTTGATACGTTTGTTTGTTGATTATCTTGTTGGTGTTACATTTTTGTTTGCTGATCTTACTTGTATGATGTAATTGTTTTTTCATGATCTTATTTACATCATACATGTGTTGATAATATTTTTGTGTGTTGCATTTGTTTGTTAGATCATGTTTGTTTGATGTTTTTATTTGTTGATAATCTTATTTGTATGATACGTTTATTTGTTGATCTTTTTTTGCGTGATGCATTTGTTTGTGGGTGATCCTGTGTGTACGATGTCTATAGATCTTGTTTGTGTTCATTGTTACGCTTAATATGCTACTAGTAAAGACACTGTCGCGTCTGGTCTGGTAAGAACGTGTGTCGACACTAACAAATACTACTACACTTTAAATTCCTTCGTTAACATGATTTTAGTATGCGTCAGTATACCAAGTTCGTACATTAAGCAAGGATGAATTGAGTTTAGCTGGAACGGTTTCGGGGTAAGAAGATTGTTGGTTCTGCTGTAGCTGCACGTAGTTAAATGTATGCACCACAGCCCGGCTGATCAGGAATTTAATAAAATATCAATACCATGAATCAATATCGTCTCATCTGGGCTTATGGAAGTGCCAAAATCGTAAAGACATGAGACTACGTCTCAGTTACACCTTTAAACTCTAAGGCAATTTTTCCGCACATTTCACTTACTGCTAGAACAGTAATCAAGTCAACCTGTTGAAAGTACACATGAATGTCTATATTAGCACTTATAGAATTATAAGTAAAGTATTGACATATAAGATCACAGTGCCCAGCGCCATAACTGTGGCATGTTCCCCAGAGTGTGCTAAATAATCCAATTAATTCTCGACTGTGTCGATGCATAGATAACCATCAGGGAAAGTTTGTGCATGAACCAACACCAAACAGTTTTCTGAATCGTGATGATACACAGATATCTCAAACACAAAATAAAAGAAAGTGCCCATGACATTTTTTATTTAGCCTCACCAGAAAGTCCTAACACTTGGAGAATAACAAACTTAATTGTGTAGTAAATGTGTTTATGAAGCATGGGAACCTGTGTATAGAGTGGAGGCCCCACCTCTACTGTGTTGTGTAACAAACTGTGCTTCCAGTCAACCAGCACCTGACACTTGTTTTGATTCTGCAAAACCTCTGAATCATTTGGACAATTTAGCCTGTGACCTTCTACTAGGTCATGATTAAAGCAATAAAAACTAATAGTTATCTTAACCTGTACAAATACCAACCTACCCTTAATACGTGTGTGTGTGTGTGTGTGTGTGTGTGTGTGTGTGTGTGTGTGTGTGTGTGTGTGTGTGTGTGTGTGTGTGTGTGTGTGTGTTTGCGTGTGTGTGTTTGCGTGCGTTTGCGTGCGTGCGTGCGCGCGTGCGGAAGACACACGGGGAAGAGAATACCTGCCAACATCATAATCGTAGTTCATTACCCTCATAAGCTAGGTCGTTCTATTACCAATAGTTACAAAGAAGGAACCACTCTTGCTGCAGCTCTTGTTGGTGAAGCTGACTAAAGACTGTCACATATAGGACACACAGGTAGATATTTAATTACTGGAGTAATTGTAGTCTTGTTATTAGTACAAGGGAGAAAGAGGAGGAGAGCTTTCGATGCTGGTAAAGGGCTTTTCATACCTTATAATCAACAGATCCTACGGGTTTGTTGATTATATGATGGTGCTATATAATTTGGCACATTAATATTTTTATGATAATATTCTTTTAATTAAGTATTTTAGTCGATATTCATTTATTAATGTATTATTAATATATGGCACACACGAACTTACAGGGAAACACAACACTGAGGCCCTCTAGCGATTTTATGAAGAGGACTACTCTGTGAAACCGAAACATACAGCATTCATATTATTCTGTTTTTTTTCCATGTGGGTTAGTTTAACTATAAACCAGGCTAAGATTAGCAGACAGAGGTTCGAGCCTCCACCACTTCTTGCGCCGGCTGACCCGCATAGGTCGAACCAAACCAAATACAATTCAATTTTGTATTTGGTTTGTTGTGGGGCATTTTGTTTATTTGGCTAGTGTGATGTTATTGGTAGACGTATTTTAGGTATTTTCTTAATGTTATAGTCTTGGTATAATTCAAAACTAACAGAGGTCAGGACGAAAATAAGTAATTCAAGTTTAGTCACTAGTGACATGTTTCTCAGACAAATATATTAAAACCTAGCAAATCACCGGAGCCTGACGAACTGTTTCCGAAGTTTATAAAGGAATGTAAGAAGGAACTCAGTGAACCATTAATTAGCTGGTCATTTCAGCAGATCAAAGACGGATATTCTACTGGTTAAGTGGACAATGGCAAATATGCTCATTTATAAAGCGGGAGATAGATCCTTAGCTTCGAATTATAAACAAGTCAGCCTAACCACAGTTGTGTAAAAATTGATTACATCATTTACGGAGACAGTTGGAAGTCACCTTGCAAGTTATAAATTGAGCGATGAGTCTCACCACGAGTTTTTAATGGATCATTCTTGCCTTACAAATTTACTAACCTCTTTCATTAAGGTATTCGAGGCTGAAGATCATGATAATGAATATGATAATGTTTATGTGGATTTCAGTAAGATTTTTGATAGAGTTATGCACAGGAAACTGGCGAAGAAAGTAGTGCCAAATGGAACAGGAAGAAAAATTATCTCCTGCATAGAGGAATGGTTGAAGACTCAGGATGGGGATCCGTTAATAGTGGTGTGCCATAGGTGCCAGTAGTGGGCCCCTTATTGTTCACAATATACATAAACGACATAGATAAGGGAATAAATAGCGACATAAGCAAGTTTGTTGATGACACGAAAATTAGCCGTCAGATAATTTCTTATGTGGACACTAGAGCGCTACACGATGACCTGGATAGGTTGATGTTGTGGTCGGAGAATTGGCAAATGCAGTTTAATGGGGATAGATGTACGGGTTCTAATCCTGGTAAACAAAATAACCATGACCTTTATAAACTAAATAACGTAAATTGTTACTCAAATTAAGTGCGAAAATAATTTAAGTGTTCTAGTTAACAGTAATCTACAACCAAGACAACAGTGCATAAGTGTTCGCAAACCTTAATAGAATTCGTGGCTTCATATCAAGAAACATAAAAAACTGAAGTCCTCAGGTTATGCTTCAACTTTATGTGTCCCTGCTCAGGTCTCATTTAGATTATGCTGCTCATTTCCACTGTCCATATTCCAGAATGGACGTATTTACGCTGGAAAACATACAGAGAAGGATGACGAAGGTGATCCCTTGTATCAGAAATCTTTCTTATGATAGGCTAAGGGCACTGAATTTACATTCTCTGGGAAAACGTAGGATTAAGGGCATATGATTGAAGTGTACGAATGGAAGGCAGGAATAAATGAAGGGGATAAAAATAACGTGATGAAAATAGCTGTTCAAGACAGGACTTGCAGCAGTGGATTCAAGGTGAGCCAATTTAGATTTAGAGAAGATACAGGAAAGTAATGGTTTGGGAATAGAGTTGTGATGAGTGGAACAAACTACCGAGCAGCGTCATTGATAAGACAGCGTTGGGTAGTTTTAAAAAATAGATTGGGTACCTACATGAGTAAGTGTGGATGGATGTGAGTTGGATCTGCCTAGCATGGGTCGGTATTCCATCTTTCTTATGTTCTTAATTTGGAGAGGAAACTTTAAATGACGTTCCAGTCCGTCCGGGTCTAGGACGGATCGAAACGTCTACAGTTTATTCTCCAAAATTGTGGGCTATTTATGACTTTTTTGAAGCCAAGGCATTGTGACTTATTGTTCTCAGTTTAATGTTTCATAATATTGGTAAAGGTTGACATTGTGTGTGTTTGTGCATACAGGTGAAGACCCGGGTGGGCGAGGTGTACAGCCAGACCTGCTCCTACCTCCACCAGCTGGGCATGCAAGATACCCACCTCTTCGGTCTAGTTACTACTATAGGTGAGTACTAAATATGATCTGATTCATAATAATGGTGTATAACACCGACAAGTTGACGAATAAGACACATGTACTATACTTTGGTATCCCTGTAATATGATGTGTGCAAGTGGTTTGGCTAGGATAAGTGCACCTTGCGTCTGCTCATTGGTGTTCTGTGTACTAATTAAAGCTGCTTCTAGACATCTTCTAGTCTTGTCTCTCTCTGTGATGACCAGTGTCGTATCTTGCAGTGCTGTAACGTATGAATGTTCCCGATGAACTACTAAACAGACCAGAGACTAACAAGACATGTGCGACATTGGGAGTATCTTTACTGTAGAGACTGCTCACCAACCAGTGGCTTTATTTGTCCAGTACTAAGAAAAATACTGGATACTGTGGAAGATATGAAGGAGTTTGAGGTGAACAGTGCTTCATCCTTGAAAGGACGTGTTCAGTAGATGCCCGGGGATGGAGATATATACACTGAAGATGGGAGAGGTGAAGCAGTTTAGAATTGGTGTCACAGGTGGGAGGAGTCCACGAGAGGAAGTAGGCCATGTCAATAGGTTGGGTGAACGTAGAGTTGCAGAAAAATTATCTGTACCAAGCTTCCAAGATGCTGCTGTGTCGGGCAAGTATTACGATCATCCTAAAGTATTTTACGTCTTCCGTCTCCAACAGATTCATCAAGGCTGAGGTGCTGATCACTTCAAGCTACTTCCTTATATCTTCCGCTGTCTCCAGTATTGTTCTCTGTAAAGGACCGATTAAGCCAGTGGTTAGCAACGCGTCGCAACACTGAAGATACCCAAGTGTTGCATATGAGTCTTGTTCATCTACTTTCGGTTTTGTAAAAAAATAATACATGTAAGATAAAAAAATGACAATCCGCGCTGATCTTTTTTAAGCGTCAACATATCTCTGTCAGCATATCTGAAATAATTCTGATTCATGCTTGGCTTTGAATGAGCCATTGATCACAGAATTGATGGGGTTCGAACCCATGGCAGGGGAGTCCTAAAACTCTGGTCAGTGTGCTAACCACTGGACCAGCTGGCTCTAATAGAATTCTTCCTACTGGGCATATTTCTATACACGATAGTGAGGTTAGCATGGGCCACCACTGTGACCACAAGTACAAGTTTTTACAGACGAATCCATACCAGCATGGCTGTGGCGTCCTCTAGCTCAGGTCCCTTCAAAGCCATCATCACCATTCACGAAATCGTAATAACGCGATTAAAAGAAATTAGAGAACTGGTGATTTGTTTGCAATTATGTTAATTACTATTTCGTGAGTCATGAAGCCATTGATATGAACACTGCCCAAGTCAAATCTCACGAAATTCCTTCTTAAAAAATTAACAAGTGACACTTGATAGGTAGTGTGGCGCAGCCGACAGGTTGTTTAAGGGTCACATGTAGCAAATGGATACTTTTTTTTTGTAATGCAACGTTTCTCTTATATGAAGGTTAAAAAAAAAATTACATCACTGTCACCCTCACCTTCATCACTGTCGGCGTTAGATTGATAAGGCCCCCCCCCCCAAGTGGGCGAAACGTCTAGCCAGTAAAGATATTCGGATGTTGTACACGTGTATTATTTATGAAGACAGGAACATAAGAAAGTGTATGCATTCTGTGCTCATTCATACCACAGACACCATCATCCAGAACCAGGGAAACTTCCAGTTGGCAGGACCCCGACTCATGCTCCTCAGCACACACCGTCCTCTTCACTTGACATGGTCAGGTGCACACCTCACGTCTCGTCACATTCTCTCCCCACTGTATGTTCCTTAGCTTCTATGTACTCTCTATTGACTTGAAGCGAAACGTTGTCTCAATTCGAGCATCGATTTTGCCACTGTGTCTTAAAATCATCGATGTTGACGCCGTGGGTAGCTTTCGTGGGTAGCGCCGTCAACAGTCACCCATTTGACTTTTTATAACAGTAAACTTGCAAATACTATTTTCTATATTTTTAATTACGTTGAGTTATGTAAACCTATAAAAAAGTGATGAATTAGATACATGTGTAACATCTGGGTATCCTTGTAGACGTTTCGCCATCCAGTGGCTTTATCAATACACAGACACAATATAAACAAATACAGTGGTGACGTGTACTTAGCTCTGTGAAGACCTGTTTGCGCGCTCTCTACGAATTGAAGCAAGATGCCCCCCATCGAGCAACTTTACCAACAGCTTAAGGAAGAATTGAGGATGGCAAAGATGGAGATTCGGCGACTGACCGAGGAAAACAAGAAGATTCGTAGTAGTCCTCCTGTTTTGAGTCCTCAGGTCAAGAAAGGAAACTGGTCAGTGGCTGGACAGCAGGGAACGAAGTTGACGATCAAGAAGACGAATGGAAAGGTAGAAACGATGAAGAAGAAAGAGACTGCCGTGGAAACTGTTGTGGAAACATCTAATACATTCTCAGTGCTACCTGACGAATGTGAGTCGACTACTGGGAACGTCACGACGAACGACACCAAGGAAGGTAAGAATATTGTTGTTGTTGGGGATAGCCAAGTTAGGTATATGGATAGGGCGTTCTGCTTGAAGGACAGGAGTAGGAGACAGAGGGTTTGCTTTCCTGGGGCTGGGATGGAGGATATTGTTAGCCGTCTGCATGACATCATGAGAGGTAATGGGAGCAATCCTATTATCTGTCTCAGTGCTGGAGGCAACGATGTTGGCAGACGTAGGAGTGAAGACCTGATTAGCAGGTATAGGTCAGCAATAGAAATAATTAGGAGGAAGGGTGGGAACCCTGTCATATGTGGTATTTTGCCAAGGAGAGGAGTTGGAAATGAATGGTTGTCCAGGGCAATTGGTGTCAATTGCTGGCTGGACAAATACTGTAAGGAAAATGCAGTAACATTCATTGACAACTGGGACCTCTTCTATGGCAGAAATGACATGTATGCCAGGGATGGGGTTCACTTATCTAGGTCTGGGGTGGGAGCACTGGCAACTGCAGTGGAGGGAGCTGTTAGGTCTTTAAACTAGGAATAGTTAGTGGTATGGGTTTTGGCAGGAAAACAGTGAAGTCCCAGTGTAGTAATATTATGAGTTCTAGGGGAACTAGTAATAAGCAGAACGAGGTAGATATTGAAAAACCAGTGACACTGGGTGATAAGGACAGTAATAGGTTTAGTAGAAAAATAGAAATGAGCAGGAAGGGTAAAGAGAAAGGAGAGTCTTTCAATGTTTATTATGCTAATAGCCGTAGTGCTAGGAATAAGATGGACGAGTTGAGATTAGTTGCTAGTGCAGGTAACATTGATGTATTTGCCTTAACTGAGACGTGGTTTAATTCAAAAAGTCGGGACATGCCTGGGGAATGTCACATTCAGGGTTTTAAATTGTTCCAAGTAGATAGAAGTATCGGGAAGGGGGGTGGGGTGGCATTGTATGTCCGAGATCGCTTGAACTGTTGCATAAAAACGGGTATTAAGTCTGAAGTAACACATACAGGGTCTGGATAGAATTTTCAGAGGGGCATGAAAAACTGATTTTAGGAGTGATATACCGTCCCCTAAACTTAGATAGGGACCAAGGGAGACTACTATGGGAGGAAATTGTTAAAAGACACAAGGCACGATAATGTAGTAATTCTAGGAGACTTTAACTTTAGTCATATTGATTGGAATTTCTTGACTGGGAATTTAGAATCATACGACTTCTTAGAAGTAGTTCAGGATTGTTTATTGAAGCAGTTTGTGACAGAACCTACAAGGGGAAATAACCTGCTTGACTTAGTTCTGGCAAACAATGAATCCCTTGTTAATAATTTAGAAATTTCAGAGGAACTGGGTGCTAGCGACCACAAATCAATTACATTTAGCATTGAATGGAAGTACGATAGTAGCGATAACTCAGTAACAGTCCCAGATTTTCGCTTAGCAGATTACGATGGGCTTAGAGAACACTTATCATCTGTTGACTGGGGTAACGAAGAGAGCTATCAATATGACAGTTTTCTGAACATTATACATGCTGCTCAAAGAACGTTTATCCCATATAAAGAAATTAGATCAAATAGAAATGCCCCAAAATGGATGAATAATAGGCTCAAATATCTACTAGGGCATAAGAAAGGAATTTATAGACGTATCAAAAGAGGTGAGGGTCATCTTATGAATCAGTATATTGACATTAAGAGGGACATTAAAAAGGGTATAAGAAAAGCTAAAAGGGACTATGAAATTAAAGTTGCTAGGGATTCTAAAACTAACCCAAAAAGTTTTTTCCAGGTCTATAGAACAAAAGTTAGAGATAAGATAGGTCCCCTTAAAAATAACTATGGGCATCTTACTGACAAAGAGAATGAAATGTGCTCGATTTTAAATAATTATTTTCTCTCGGTTTTTACACAGGAAGACACTAACAACATTCCAGTAATTAATTTTTATAGTGGGCTAGAAGAAGATAAATTATGTAATATCACAGTCACTAGTGAAATGGTTGTGAAGCAGATAGACAGACTGAAGCAAAATAAGTCGCCGGGTACTGATGAGGTTTTTTCAAGGGTTCTTAAGGAATGCAAAATGGAACTCTGTGAACCATTAACTAATATTTTTAATTTATCTCTTCAAACAGGTGTAGTGTCTGATATGTGGAAGATGGCTAATGTAATTCCTATTTTTAAAACATGGGACAAGTCGTTACCGTCAAATTACCGCCCAATAAGCCTGACCTCAATTGTAGGCAAATTACTAGAGTCAATTATAGCTCAGATTGTAAGAAGCCATCTCGATAAGCATAGCTTGATTAATGATACTCAGCATGGATTCACAAGAGGCCGGTCTTGTCTAACTAATTTATTAACTTTCTTCAGTAGAGCTTTTGAGGCTGTTGACCACGATAAAGAGTTTGATATTATTTACTTAGATTTTAGTAAGGCTTTTGATAGAGTTCCGCACCAAAGACTGTTAAAGAAAGTGGCAGCTCATGGCATTGGGGGAAAAGTGCTCTCATGGATCGAGTCATGGCTTACAGACAGGAAG